TCATGCGTGCCTGATTCAAAATAACATGCGGCAAATGACTCAACCCAGGCGGCGTATCCACACTCCTGCCCTTCCTCTTGATCCCCCCTGCACCACCCTCCTCCGTGCCCCAAAAACACACTTCGAGGATGTGGTATGCTTCCCGCAGGACATCCTCGGCGAGACCAAAGGACTCGTAGATTTCAACGGTGCGCACTTGGACGCCGTCGGCTTGCCCGATTTCTAGGGGGCCGTTGCGCCGCTCGAGAATGGTGAAGGGGATGTTGTAGATGGCGAGCCAGGCTGCGGCGAAGATGCCGGCCGAGCCGCTGCCGGCGATTAAGACGTCAGTTTTCGGCATGGCTACGATGAGGTAGATATGTTGTTGTGGATGCAATTAGTGATGGACATGGGACGGGTCTGTGATGTATGTGGTCAATTGTGTAATATGTCTAAGATGAACAGAGTGGAAGCATGTGAGCGAAAAGGTGCTCAGTCAGACGAAAGCCACCCTCCCCCCCCCCCCCCCCCCCCTTGCACGCTTCACTTACAGGCAAAAGTGCTCCCTCTATCCCTCATACCCCCTGCACCTGCATGCATGCCTTCAAGCCACCAACGGTACTCCTAGGCCCTCGCTTGGATTCTAGAGCCAAAGAATGGTTTACTCTACATTCTAACAACTATACACAAATCGTCCTGATATGCACGCGGTAGACTTTGATTGGCAGCCGGGGAAAGGCCAGAATGCGGAGAAGCTTGACAGCTCGGTCCTCTCCTACGGGAGTACTCTAGAGTATGCCTCGAACCACATTTCGGCATGACGTGATGGGCCCCCACAGCTGATCAACTGGACCTTGTATCCCTCCCGGAGCCGGCAATCGATTCTCCAACAAGGGCAGTTCTGGCGATGTTTGGCTCGGCTATCTGAAATTTGCATTTCTCAACAAGGCTTGTTATACTAGAGTACAAACCATGTAAGAATTACGCCGACCTCTGCGCCCGTTCTATCTCCCATGGCCGTTGCCGAGTGGAGCAGTGGACCTGGCCCTTGCCCGTTGTCCCATTTTTGGGGGGTTGATCCTGGGGTCCCTAACTCCGGCCAGGGAAAAACAAAGGAAATGGGTATAGCGGACGGCGTTCCGCTGGGGATCGGAGGATACTAGGTTTGACCAGAATAAGGACCCGTTTTTGCAGAGGTCCCACTTGTGGGGGTTGAGAGAGGGTTATGACGTGCATGTTGGGGGTATGATGTTATTGTGGGTTGTTGGGGGTTTGAGGGCTTGATGGTACTGTAGAGAGTTGATACTCTAGGAAAACAAGAAGAGCATGAGGAGGGGGGAGGGGGAAGAAGTAGACACTGGATCCAAAATCCCCAGCTCTGGCCCCCAAAATCTCTTATTCTCCATCAGCAGTGGTGTGCATGTCTTTCTGTTCAGAGGAGCTATTCATTCTGTTGGACAATGTCGAATTGACTTGTCCTCCTCAGCGGCCAAGTACGGCAAACTCCTCTGGTGTACCGGTAGGCTTGTGAGGTAACAGAGAGTATACCGTCTACCATTCGCTCTCCTCACTTTGACATGCGTCGTGCATGGAAAACACTAATCCATCCCATCTCAAACTCACCCTCGAAGCCTACATTCCACGACCACGCATTCCCAATTCCCCAGCCACGTCACGCAACTCACGATGCCGGCCCGTCTGAGCGCAAAAATAAAAAGCCAAAGACAGTCGAGTCATGATTGCACACTCTTTTCCCCGGAGATGCAAGTACTCAAGAGGGTGGATTCTTCTTCTTCTTCTTCTTCTTCCTGCTGCTCCTTCTCCCCCGGTACTGAGCAGTCCAGTCCGACGTCGAGCTTGAAATCATCGAGTGTAAGATGGAATCGAGCGCATGGAAATGCAAATCCATACCTAGTATTCCCTAAAAAGATTACAAACAAGATCAACTGACACAACGCCGTCCCCCTACCATAGCTCGCCATGGTAAAAGACATGGCATGCCACATGGTTTGTACGCTTAATGAGTGATGATCCCTACTAACACTCAGCCAGCATGCGCTTTGTATACTAGAAAATCAAGATTCCCTCGTCTCTTCGTGTCCCTGTTGCAAGGCCGTATAGTGGGTTCTGCAAAAACTCTGGGATATCCTTCAAGACCCTACAATACCCTCCAATACGATATCCTCCAAAACCTACAACGTCACCCCGCCCTCTGCCCTCCTCAACCCAAACTTACTCAGCCGAATCCGAGGCACAACCCCGACGAGGACCAAGACACTAGCCACCACAACCGCCCAATGCTGCATGTGCAGCACATTCAACGAATACGTCGTCCAGCTGGACGCGCAAATCGTCGCCAGACCGAGCACGGCAATCAGATAGCCGGCCAGGCGATGATACTTGTAGATGCTCTTTGCCCTGTCCACACTGCCATACAGACTGGGCACGTAGTACTGCGTGAACCCAACGAGCGCCTGCACGTACACGAGCACGTAGAAGGCGAGTCCGAGTCGTGCGTGCGCAGAGGCAAAGTGCTCGTGGCCAGGCCCGGCCTTGTTCATCTCGATGACGATGAGACCCGCAGTGAGGGCCGAGACGCCGATGAGGTGCAGGGCGAAGTGGGCGACGGTGCCCGCCCGCTTTTGCTCGGGTGTGTGCGTGGGTTGGAGGACGAGGGCTGCTTGGATGGCGAGGAGGAAGCCGGCCTGTGTGGTTGGTGAGAAGGGGCGGTTTAATGGTATGGTTGGCGGGAGGGGGAGGATAGTGTGGTGTTGTGGCTTACGGAGTTGAGAAGCTGTAGCGTTGGGTCAGGGTGGGTTAGCATACGGTCGGTTGAATTGCGCGCATGGATCAGGGACGCTGCAGTTTGGGGGCGGGGGCACAGGATGCTTACGGGATGAGCGGAGAAGAAGATGAGTTTGTGGGATAGAATGGCCCCCCATACTATGGCTGCGAGCTGTGATGGTGGTGGTGGTTAGACGTTGGATCTTCATTCGAGGGAGAGCTGTGGAGGTCGCTCACTATCCAGATTCCCGCTTGGGCAATGGGCGCGGTGCCTAGGGAGCATGTTAGACTGGTTTGAACGCCGTAGATTACCCCCTCCATGGTCAAGACTCACCGATCCAGAGGTTCAAATAGAGCGGTTGGCCGTGTAATTGACTTGCATCCCCTCTGCTTCCCAACAATGGTTCCTCCTCACTTGCTCCGCGGATCGCCGTCGCGTTTGGGATGCCAGTTGCCGAAGCCATGTTTGCGAATGCTTCTACAGGTGTTCAGACTTGGACTGGTCTGCCAACTCAGATGACTTCGGACGAAAGGTCTGTCAAGCAGGCAACAAGCTGTCAGTGTCACCAGAAGAGGTCGACGTCGGACTTACGATGATGGGGAAGCTTCAACTAACGATGACGACAAGCTAGCATCCCTGTATATATGGACCAATTAGCACATGGTGGATGTCAGATTAGACTTCGATCGAGCCAATGAAAGCAGTCCTAATCGCACACCATCACAAGTCGTGATGCTCGTGACATTTAAACGAGTGTCGGTGTTTCTCGGTGCTGGCTGGATCTCGGTTCCTTCTATGGCGAGCCAGGCTGTTTGCTAGTTGCAGAGAAAAAGGTACTCATCACGGTATCCTATCAACTCCAGACTAGAAGTATCAACCAATTGCAAAATTAGAGCAAACAAGCAAGATGGCGAATTGAGCTAGTATTGTCATATCTACCCCTTCCTCAAATCTATCATACAAAAATGGGACTCGTCACAATCCCACGCGTAAAAGTAATGCATCTGCAACTCATTCAGGATCTTCTCCAGATCCCCTTCTTCCCACAGTCCGGAACCAATATGACGTGACGCCCGCCGCCTGCTAACATTGTGCGCGCTTGTGCCATGTAGAGAGATAACGCCTTCCATTCATCGTACCCGTAGGTGTCCGGACGCCCTTAACATGCTGATGCGAACATCCCAAACCGGTATATCCGTTGCACCCAAAATACAACTATGCATATCGAAGGCGACGTGCGGGGGAATATTGTGTGTTCGTGATTCTATGCAGTGATATGCGGGTCTGTTCCGCCATGTGTCTCTGCTGTCTTGTAACAATTGTTCTAGTGTGCCCTTGGCGCACACGCTGAGATGCCCTGTTCCTGGGCTAATCGGAGGCGTTGTAGTGTAGTGTGTGTTTATCAGTTCGGTAGTCATCGTTACTTCCGCTTCATGATTTCCGGTTGCTTCGACGGATCGGCCGGGTCTAGAAATTTGGTCATGGCGAGTGATAGTTCTTTGAATTCGACAGGCTTTGTGACATAAGAGTTAAAGCCAGCTTCTACGCATTTTGCGTAGACATCGCCGAGAACATTTGCAGATAATGCAATGATTGGGTGACGGCGGTAACCATGCTTCTTTTCCCACTGCCGGATCTCTTTGCAGGCTTGGTACCCGTCTTTATTAGGCATGTGCAGATCACACTTTCAGTAGTTAGCTCATGCCTGCAGGGATGAATTGTGAGTCTTACCAAGATGATGGAGAAATAGCCAGGCTCCTTGGAGAACACGGTATCGGTGCACTGAACTCCGTCTTGTACTGTTTCAGTTTCAATGTCAATCTTGGCCAGAAATTTCAGAATCACCTAAGTAAATATCAGTCTCGACACTCTTCGACATCACCCAACTTATTCTTACCGTCTGGTTGATCTTGTTGTCTTCGACAAGCAAGACTTTATGATTCTTACCGCCGACCCTGCGTTTCAACTCCTCAAAGACCAGCTTTTGACTGACCACCACCTGCTGAGCAGAATCTTGATTTCGGTCGGTGCTTGACTCCCGCTGCTTCTGAGGGTCGAAAATGACAGCAAACTTGGACGGTTTGAGTGGACGGTAGATGAATTGCAGCCGTCTGTCGGCGTGTAACTGATTGTAATCATAGACTGGGGCTTCTTTGATGAGCTCCTTCTTCTGGGAAGGATCAGACACTACGATGACTGAGGTATTGCCGTAGGACATGGAGCTGTATATTTGGTCCATGATTGCATGCACCTCCGAGGTATCATGAAGTACCAAGACAACGTGCGTGAATAGCACAGGATTGTCACCACCAATCATCCTCTGTGCGTCAATGATACTTGATTGTCCAGTCACTTGATGTGGGATGTCCTGAGGCAGCGTGTTCTTGATATGGCGGATAGTAGCCTCTCTGCTGTGTACCAACGGGCAGACAACCAAAATGGAATACATTGGCGGCTGTAAAGCACTACCAAGTGGAGATAAGCTGCGGTGTGGTGACGATGGGCGGGCCGTGCTCTCCGAATCCATAGAAGAAGAAGAGTTGTCTGTAGTTCCGCGTTCGCTCTCGGGTCGCTTCGATGGTAAAGCGAGGTGGAGATTGGGATCAGAGGGCAGCTGGACATCCTGCAGGTACGATGATGCAGATGAACGCTCAGATCGTATGCTAGACTTTCCGGTCAAAGCCGTACTCGTCAGGGAATGATCTGAGCTGCCAGACGAGAGGGATGGAGAGTCGCGAGATCGTTCAGAGGCGGCTAAACTTGATGCAGGCGACTTGATAGGGTCGCTCCGCTCGGAAGAGACACTCGATACACGTTTGATTGGTGGCATTCCAGATGTCTGGGATTGCAAAGATTTCTGCAGGGCGGACCCTTGCGAGGATTGTGATGAAGTCTTGGTCAAAGGTGGCGGCACGACCGTTACAGGTTCCATCAATGGTGTTCCTGGAGTCGACGGCTGTACTTTGGGGAAGTCTTCGGGGGTAGGAAGTCCAAACTTAATGGTAAAGAAGAACGTAGAACCTCTACCAGGCACACTTTGGGCGTCCATTCTTCCGCCATGGAGTTCGACAAATTGCATAGAAATGGCCAAACCGAGACCGGTACCGCCATGTTGCCTGGTGCTGCTGGCATCGATCTGACTGAACCGCTTGAAAAGGTGCTTAGCCTCAGCCTCAGTAAAGCCTTGTCCTGTATCGACCACTTCGAAGCGAATCATCGTCTCGTGCTCTTTAAGAAGCCCTGAACGGTCCGGTGGCTGCATTTTACAGCGAACGAAGATTTCTCCTCTATTCGTGAATTTAATTGCATTACCAACGACGTTAAGTAGCACCTGTCGAATGCGGAACTTGTCGCCCTTGACCATGGTTGGTACTCCTTCCTCCACCAGATAATTGAGCTCGAGTCCCTTCTGGATAGCTAAGCCCATATTTAAGTCATTTACCTCCTCCAGGAGAGAGGGCACGTGGAGCCACTCCATGGAAAGCTTGATCATGCCTGCCTCCACCTTGGACAGATCGAGAATGTCGTTGATGAGATTGAGAAGACTGTCGGTGCTGGCTTTGATGATATTAACATGCTCCAGCTGTTCAGAATTCAAGACACTGTCCAGGAGGAAGTTCACCATGCCCGAAATGCCGTTGAGGGGCGTGCGAATTTCGTGGCTCATGTTACTCAAGAACTTGGACTTGGCATCCATGGTTTCCTTTAATGTTTGCTCCAGCAGCTTGTGATCGTTGATGTCGGTGGCGGTGCCATACCACGTCTCCTCTTCGCCGTCTTCTACAAGACTGTTTTCGAGGAGTATTCTGACCAAATGCCACCTATAGTCCCCGTCTTTGTTCCGTAGACGCACTTCAGTGGAGTATGATGCACGACCATCCGCATCCTTGGCGATGCTGAGAATTCCAGTGCTAGCTAGTTTGGATAGCTTAGCTTGTGGCAAGTCCAGCCTGTCCGGTGTCGAGTTTCCAGGACTAGTAACTGTCTTGTCGCCTTCTGAAGAACTTTCTGAAGAACTGTATTCATGGCGTGCATTCTCAGGAGGTAGGGTCGTGGGCACGTTGGCGACACCATCTTCGTTCAATACTGGGAGCTTGCATTTGACGACATCATCTGGATGGACGTGCTCGAGGAAACCATTACCAAGCGCATGCACCTCCGACTGGCCAGAAAATGTGATCCACTGTGAATTACAGAAACTCAATCCTCTTCGGTTGGAAACGACGAAGACGATCTGGGGACTCGAGTTGGCCAGTGCTCGATACTTGGCTTCCGATGCAGCTGTCTCCTGTTGACGAGCAGAATTCTGCTCAGCAATGTGTTGTTCATGAAAGTCCATGTTAGTCCCTATCCAGTGCACAATCTGCTGTTGCCTGTTCTTCAGTGGTGCCACGCGTACATAGAACCACCGGTAACACTTGTCAAATCGTTGCATACGAACCTTCTTCTGCAATTGCTGACCGGTTCGCAACGATTTGCTCCATTCATCAAGATATGGTCCTCGATCCTCGGGATGTATGGCCTCCCAAGGATCTTGCAGCACCTGACGACAGTCCTGACCACGATAAATCAAGAACTTGGAATTGACCCAGGTCATGGCCCCAGTGGTCGGAGCTGCCGTAAAAATCTGAACGGGCAGAGAGTCAATGATAGTGCGGAGAAGACTCTCAGAAGGAGGCGGCATCTCAAATGATTCTGTGATTGATCCTCTTCTGAGGTGTGTATGTGGTCCCGATAATCGGCCTCCTGGTGTCGTCGCTGCAGGCAAGGATTGAAAGGAAGAGCTGAAATCAGCACCATAAGAATGTAACAGAGAATGACTCCGATTGTGAGATCCCGAGGGTGGTGTCCGACGCAGGCTAAGCGTATCATCTTTGGGTGCTTTGACGTCACGCGGTGAACTAGATGAATCACTGTGCTGTTCGACCACTGGGTTCAGGCTTACGCGTTTCATTTGCCGTTTTTCAGATTTGTTGCTCGTCTGTTCCGCAATGTTGGAAGAGGGCTGGGATGAGGTTTTACCCATCTTTTTTCGCGAATCGAAATAGCTTTCTATAGCTTCACTACCTGCGAGGTGGCCAGGTGTGCCGGCCATAGAGTGTTTGCTGGTAAAGCCAAGTGATCCGGCATCCCAGCCAGGGGTACCAGCAATTGATCCACCAGGACTGTTCCTCGACCTACCTGAATAGTCAGATGGGCTGGTGACGCTACCAGCTGTAGAGTTTGTAATGTCTCCGAGATCGAGATGAAGTAGGTCATCCAGACTGTCCTGTTCTCCTGGTAAACTACTATCTTCGGCGATGCGGCGTTGCCGGATCGAAGCGACTTGTGCTTGAGCATTCGTAAATTGCCATGCATTTGAGAAGGAGGTTGCAAGATGAGGACCCAGGAGCTTGAGAGAATTCGTCAGGTTACGCGGATAGGGAACAATGGAAGACAAGATAGAAAGGATCGCAATGGGCGCTTTTCGAACAAAGTCTTCTTTTCTCGAAGAAACATTCGAAGACTGTTCAGACTGTCGTCGTGAAAGGGAAGGGGTCTGTGAAGGTGTCGCATTATCCGCCGAGGTCATAACCTGGGACAGAGTGGGATGGATTAAGGGTATGTGTGTGACTGTACTCGCTTTGTCAACGCCAATGGCCTCGACCTGCCCAAATTGAGTATAATCTTGGGGAGATCGAGAGGGGTTGAAACTCTCTTCATCCACGCTACCCGTAATGAAGAATGGATTTGCGTCAGCATCATTCTGAATTGCCGGTGATGGAGCAGGTGATTGAGCCCATGGCGAGCTTGGATATTGCTCATACTCTTCATAGCGGGGCTGCAGTCTGATGTCACTTGTTCCGAGAGTATTGCGCGCCCGCGCAGTCGATGATTTAGGAACTTCCAGTGGCGTATCAGCTGGCTTGCATGGATCAGTGTTATCCTTTTCTGGATCCTCCCTGGCGGTGGCAAATGATGTTGAGTAGTCTCTAGTCAGTGTTACAAGACGTCCTCTTTCCAGGACACGATTGATTCCTGTACTGTCTATCAATGCATCTGGTTCGTGGTCGAGAGCACGTAAGATGTTATACACAGCGACGGGCGCGGAAGGTTCCCCAACACTTGAAAACTCAGGATCGCTAAACGTGGGTTCGCCTGTTGGCACAAAGTTTGGCAAAGGACTTTTACTGCCATCTAAGGATACTTGCGAGACTTGACGCAGAGGATGATCTGGTCGCGAACAAGCTTGAGGTGCGTGACTAGCGGCTCTCATGGGAGCTCGGGGGCGTGTGTGCACTGCTGGCGTCGGGCTGTCTGGTGAGTGACCTGGTTTTTGCCGCTCATGGCCGGCAAAAGAGTGATGTGAGAACAACCTGGGTCTTCTCTCTGGAATCATTGGAGTGGGCTGCATGTCATCCATGTCCGTCTCCTGAACATCCTGTACTTGCTCAGAATCACTCTGCGTCCCAGCACTGCTTTCCTCCTGATATGTCGCGCCTCTGGGACTACCTTCCCGCTCAGTAGCAGTGAAGCTGGTTTTCTGGCCCCATGGCACATTCTCAATATCGGAAGCGTCGGCCGGTACTGCCAGTGTAGCACGATCTGCTCCGTAGTGATGATGCAAGATCGAGGTGACGGTACTCCACCAAGCTGTCAGGCCTGGTTCAGCGCCCAATCGGAGCACCAGGTCATAGAGATTAGGCGTGGGAAATCGTGGATCTTCACTATCCGAGCTCTGGTACTGCTTTCCTCCCGGTGCAAAAGGAGTGGCTGAAGCTGCTGGGGTACTGGTCTCAGAGGCGACACGCTCCTTTGGTAATCTATACTCTTTCGGATACGCAGCCGACACTGTGGGTGACAGGTTTGTGAAGGGCATGTGAAAAGAAGAAGACCATCTTGGGGTGGTTAGGACGGTGGGAAATGGATAAGATGGCGTGCGGAGGGCTTGTGCGGTTGCAGGTGTGGGGGGCACACTACCACGGATGGTGCGCGCCGACTCTGTTGATGTTGTCGATGTCGTGAGACCTGTGGGCAGGGGACTAGGGCTGTTGAAGGCGCCCTCGAGCGTGGGCGACATGGCAGTCATTGGCTCCTCTTTGATAGGCGAGACGCGACGGCTGGTCAGGGCCGCCACCGTATTGGCAGTCGCCGTTGTCCGCATGCGCAGTCGCTGCTGTTGCTGCAGCACTTTTAGCTGCAAACTGCGCAGCCGCTCGATTTCCTGCTCATCGGGCGAGGGTTCGCCCTGTACCGACTCTTCAGACACGTGCCGCCCAGCCCCAGTCCCTTCAGAGGCCCCGTCGCCAGGCTGGCTCTGCTTCACACTCATGACGGCGTCAGCGGTCGCATCATCACGGTCCTGCAACGGCTGCGCTGACACTGTGTGCTGCGATTCCTGGGAGGAGTAGCTCTGGTATGTGGCGTCGCTGGCTGGCAGGCGCTGCAACGGCGGTCGCGAAGAAGTTGATGGCGACGAGGTGTTTGGCGAGGCAGGGGCGAGGTCTGGCTGTGACTTGTCCCTCTGCAAGGTCGGAGAGGGCAAGGGGTTCTGGTTCATTATGGCATCCCTCTAACCAGGCGAAAATTGGGCAGAGACAAAAGTCCAGAGGTCAGTTGCCGTCGTCGTTGTCGTCGTCGAGCAGTAAAAGGTGTGTGCGGTGGTTCGTGGCCGCATATGCCGCATGGGCTGATGACGTATTTATCAACGGGAGGCAAAGGGCGACAACTGCAGACTGCAGAGCGGGCCTCTCTCTCTTCTAGCATGCGGCGAAGAGGCTGCACAGTAGCCACAAGAACAACAACAACAAAAACAAGAGACAAGCACAAAAAGGCAAATTCGACAGAAGAAATGGTACTATGTCCAGATAGTGTGTACTACTGAGGCGGTCAATGTGCCAACGCCGCTCCAGCCCGATGCTGGGTGCTAGGTGTAAGTGGATGGGTGGGTGGATAGGGAGGTAGCCCTGAAGGAAGCTGGTGGGCGGGTGTGCCAACCGGGAAGGCCTGCGCAGAAGGAGGAAAACAGGCGGCCTTGGGAAAGGGTTCGAATTGCCCATGCAAATAGTGTGAGTGTGTGTGTGTGTGCGTGTGCGTGTGTGTGTGTGTAGACACAGTCAGTGGCACTGGCACTCCGATCCAGCAGCGGGACGGAAACAGCTCGGACAGAAGGTGGAGTCGCGATGAACTAGAGGGTACCCTAGAGAATACACACAGAATGTAGGTACTAGTATGTACTATGTTTGTGTGTAGAGTATGTATGGGTAGAAAGTGAACCTTGGCTGGCCTTGATGCAGCGGGAATTTGACGGTTGACGGCTCGCTGTCTGTGGTCTTGGCCGATGACGTCGCTGTTCATCTCATCTCCATTGGGAGGGGGGGGACCAGGGGTCTTTGCGGCGAGCCAACTCGGGAGCCTCTGCCGATGAATGATTCTCCTGGAAGAGGCGCCGACGGTGAATATACCGTCCACCACTCTACTACCTATCCACACGGCAGCATATAAGGAAACACCTCTCCCATACTCCCCGTCATTTCGCTCTCCTCCCATCTCCTCCCATCACGCCCTATCCATGTGGCTTCTTCTTTGGTACACTCTACTGTCTGCCTTTCCGAACTGTGTCGCGTGAAATGGTAGCAGCAAGCCAGTGACTGCGCAGTTACTGTGCGCTATGCTCAAAAGAGACAAGCGTAACTTTGCCTTGGCGGGGCGCAACTTTGCCATGTGCTGCCCAACCGGCTTAGCGCGCCTTTTCTCCAACCATCGTCAAGACTCGTGCCATCAAATGCCCTTGTCGCACCATTCCATGGATGCCTCACTTTGAATCTTGAAGTCAAGCTTACCCAGCCCTTGCCCTCCCGGATCGCCTTGGTCCAGAGGCTGAAGAGGCTTCTAGCGCAGAACCCGCCACGTTATAGTGCCATGCTGCACATGCAGTGGGAGTTTACTACTATTGTGTACTAACGGAGGTAATGGTCATGTACACAAAAGGTCCGAATCATTGAATCATCAATTCCCTCCTTCATTGTCCTGGCCATCCATCGCCTGCAACGTCTTTGGCACCAAACTAGAAACTAGGCCCCGACTTGGCCAAGCAGCAGACCATCACGACTCCTTCAATCGCAGCTAGTCGAAATCTTTTTTCTTTTCTTAGTAGGCGCCCGTCTAGCCCGCTGCCACGACGTCTTGCGTCCCAAAGTCTGATAAACGTTCAGCCCTGGAGTCGTGTGTTCTTTGGCCTAGATGCGCGCCAATGCTCAGTGAATCGCTGGCGCGGATGGACACTTCCAAGCGACGCAATCAGGTTAGCTGCCTCTGGTACCTTACATGTCCTATCCTGGTCCAGCGATGAGATCTACCGATCCTTGTGATGCGACAAACCACCGGGTGACCTCGTTGCCTTGCCTTGGAGTATCATGGTCAATCCCACCCTGACAGAGGCTACCAAGCCAGGCTCGGATGGCTGTTGTGCGGCCTCACGATGGCCACCAAGTCTGATTTGGGTTGGCCAATATCGCATATGAAATCATGAATAGATGGGGGGACGTTGTTCGTATTGAGCCTTGTCGATACTACTATACACGAAACTGAATCGCCAACTTCTCTAGAGTGCGGACATGGAATAGTGGCACGACTACCACTAAACTTAACTCAAAAAGGTATATCAACAGATTGATTTCAGAAGAGAGGGCTACATGGCATCTGTTGGAAGCGCGTTTCTGAGAGTCTCTATAGGTAAATACACAATCTTTCTTCTTGATCTATGATGCTCTGACTAACTTAGTCCTCAAGTATAATACTATTCGCTTTCATCATAGGTAACTATACCAATCATCATTGGCCGCATCAAGATGATTGAGATTAGACGACAGATCTAGCCTAGTCCCCAACACGACTCACGACTCACGACTCACAAACGCCCTGATGATAACAAAATGACAAGCCATATAATATCAGCAGCAGAATAGATCCAATTGCAATCCTTATCTACAAGAAAGCTACAAAAGAAAAAATATCAGGTTGAGTCAGTAAGTCAAGTGATCTAAATTACAACTTCACGATTCTCTCGCTCCTACAGGCCTTGATATCCAACCTTGAATCCCTACCTTACCCTACCTTAGCATTACCCCCTCAGCGACTCTCGCGCCTCACACACCCAGATACGTCCCACTAGTAATCTTCTTGACCGTATGCACAGGCTTCCACCCTGCCGCCGGACTAGCCGGCGGCGCATTTTCGTCGATATCCGCAAATGGATCCGCCTCACCATCCTGCTTCGCTTCACTCGTCGCCGCACTCATGCTGACACCAAGGCCACTACCAAGAGTGAGCGACTGTTCATCGCTAATCTCCCATCGCGCCTCTACATTTCCAGGCTTGCCTTCGCCTTCGGTGAAGAATCGGACGCGAATGGTTTGCGCGACCGAGTCCTTGGAAAAGGTCACGTCGCCTAAACGCCAGTAGATGAGGCTCTTCTCTCGGGAGAATGTACCTGCTGGCTTGGATTGAGCGGATAGGGCTTTCGAACCAGGCTCTAGACGAATCAAAAGCACAAGACCACGGACAGTCATACTGGTGGCGTCGCCGAGATTGAATTTCGGGTTGAGAGAGTAGTTGAGGATGGCTGATATTTGCGTAGGCTCCGATCTCCAGGCTGGAGAGAGAATAATGGGGGGAAGCGTGGTAATGTTGCTATCTTCAATGTGCAATTGGTAGTGGAACGCGACAGATGTCTTTGTGATTTTCGACAGATCGACAGTGTAATTACCAGGGCTATCGCTGGACTGCTCAATAAAAGCTGGGTTAGGCGCAACCTTTTCGAGAACGGGAAAATTCTCTAATCTGATATTCTCTGTGCCAAATGGCCCTGCAGAAATGTCGACTGGATTAAACGCGAGCGCGACCTGGCCGATGACCATGGCTTTCGTCACATTGCCATGCTCAAACCACGCACTGACGGTTTCTACCAATGACGCACTTAGCCCCGGTTCATGCAGATCTGGATGTCTGATAGTGGTGCTAGCAGCGCTGCTCAATGATCGTCCGGACCGAATGGATTGCGTGTCCGATGCTGCGTGATCATCAGACAACAGCGAGCGGTGGGGAGGCTTGAATGCTGGAGAAGTGGGCTGAGGAGGAATAGCAGGGGTAGAAAATGTTGCCGAAGTCGGGACAGAGGTAGGACCAGACCCAGCGGACGGCACGGGTGGAGGCAGCTCGCCTATACTTTGAAGCTCAGGTGTGGCGGGGTTTGGCACGAAGATCGTATTGCGAACATCTCGACGGCCACGTAAAGTGCTCGATCGCTTTGGTTGAGCGGCTTGCTATTCGCCCATTAGTACTCGAGTTTGCAATCAGGCGGGGTGGTCATCATACTGCACGAAGAGTGTTTACCAGGTTCGCCGTAGCTGCGTCTGCATCATCATCCTCTTCTTGTATCGGAGCATTCCGGATATCGAGTTTGAACTGTGGTGCTGAGTTGCTTTCAGCTTGCGCCCTGTTTCACCGTTAGCTGAAGGTGTTTATATTAGGCCATTGGTGGACTGCTTACAATCCTGCTTCCCTCTCGGCCTCGGTGATAGCATCTACAGCAGACGGCGGTACCGTGAAGCCGTCGGCATCCTTCTCAGGCTGTGTCACATTAGCTATGTCCAGTAACATAACACGATGCGGCTTACTTCAGGTTTTGGCTCTGCGATGGCCGGAGGTGAAAGTGGTTCTCTGAGCTCGGGTATTGACTCTTGCACAGCGGGCGTGCCATTTGTTGTGCTAGGTCTATCTGTTTCCAGTGGAGACTCCATTATGGTCCCGTTTGGCAAATCTGCACTGGGTAGCCGTGAATGGCTAGGGGAATCTGCTCTGTCAGACGATCTAGCTGTTTGAGATAGCCGTCTCAGAGGTGACATTGGCCGCGTCTCTCGCTCTGGGGAGGCACCAAGGGCCTCCCGATCTTTCGACTTGCCTTTTCCAAAACCGCTAAATGCTGATCCCAGGTTGGAGGATGATTTTCGCTCAGGCGAAGATGCTCGGCCATACGGTTGGGCGTTTTGTCGTCGTCGGCCAAGTACCGTTCCAAATCGCTTGAGAGGGTTCGAGCTATGCTTCTCTTGTACTAAGCGCGTTAGAAGAGGTGTACTGAAATCATCGAGTCCACGTACCGGAGCCACTCTTTTGGCTTCTGTCGTCGTCGGCTGTAGTTGGCGCAGGTGCGGCTGAAGGCGGCGCAAGGCTTCTCGAAGGAGTGGCCGCATTGCTGAGCTTGCGCGAAGGCTGTGGTAGCTCCCCACTCCGCATCCTCAGTGCCCATGTCTGTATCTCATCCGCTGTCTCGAGGTTCAGCAGAGTGTTCAGGGTTTCTGCGGCAGTCGCCTGACTGCGCTCCACTTGATCGACTTCGTGGGTCTGGAATTGCGTGAGCACGTCGCGGAGATGATTCAGCCGGGTTTCGTCAATGGCCTGCAATTGTTCGAAGACGTAGGGCGCTTGCGAATCCCATGCCAGCTCCGCCTTCTCGACGTCTTGGACGGCCTCGCCCACAGCCGATGCCTTGGCCTTTGCGCCCTTGTCTCTCAATTTGGCCACCTTCTTCTGCGCCACGTCAATGTCCTTTGCGATTGCGGCCAGGTTGCCCGAGACGTTGGCCATGGCTTGCACTTCGCGGTTGGTCGTGGCAAAGTCGCGCAGCGGGCGTTCGACATCGGCCTCGATCTTGTTGGCCAGGTGCTGGTGCGACTGGGCCACCGCCTCGGTTGCGCTCACGATTTTGTTCCATGGCGTGGAAAAGATGCTAGCGGGCCGTCAGTCCATGCGCGGCCGTCACGGGCGTATTTGCTCTATTTGCTCTATCGTACCCAAGATCCGACGACTCATCCGGGGGGTGTCTGCTGGCAAGCTTGCGCAGCGCCTGGGCGTACTGCTCCTCGACGCGACGCCGGTCCTGCGCAACCGTCAGAAGGCCGAGGCCATGTCTTGTTGACGGGTAGACAGTTGACGTACCTGCAGCCAGTCGGCGATCTGGACGTTCAATTGGCTCACGTGCCGCACGCGGTCGTTGAGGACGTTCACGGCTTGGGCGGGGGTGAGCGTTGTCTGTACACACCATGAGCGGAAGGCCGAGGGAAGGAGGGAGGGCATGCGGATGGCTCACCAGCAGGGCCGGGTATTCTTTGCGTTGCAGCTCCATGATGCAGATTGTGGGGTGGACGGGCGCACAGCCACTGGGTCGAGGTTTGGGCGTCTTTTACATGCGACGACAGCAGCCGGCTTCAGGAACTTGTCAAAGTGTCGTGGAGCTTGTCACACCTCACAACTGCGCTGTCAGTCCGTGGCTTGGGGCCGCGCGCGGATTGGGTTTAGGCCGAGGACGTCGCGGATCTGACGTACCACCGTAAACCCAAGTTGGCAGACAAACGGACTTGTCATGTGCCTAGTATAGTTGCTATGATGATAAGCTTTGTACGGTGGTACAATATAGCTATGCTACCGTGCCATCACCATCTAGTACCGGTATAGTTTATGTACAGGTACACGTAGCATCCACCCAACGAACACAATCCATATACATTACCATTCGGTAGATGCATCCTCGAAGCCAAAGGCACGTCGGTGCACACTGCACAGTGCACTGCACAGACTCGTCCTCGTCCCTAATGCGGCCTATTGGGCTACCACCCTACCTACACAGAGGGTCGCTGCCCAAGTGACAAGACGGCGAGGCCATCAGGTGGGAACCTGCCTACACCATCCTTGCGAATTTTTCGCCAGCTCGCCATCACAACACCAGCATCCCTCACCTTGTGTCTGCCTTGGTTTTTGTCTGCATCTCTACCGTAGCTGCTAGCCCGCCCCATGGCTCCCTCCGACTGGCGCTCGAGTTTGGGCTTTGCCGCTCGTCTGACAGCCGTCTCCAAAATGCAAGTCATCTCCAGCACAGCTAGTTACCTCTGGGACTCCCCTCGTTCTCGACTCTGAAGTTCCATCACCCAATCATTGTGGGCCACGAGAGGGTCCCCCAGGAGAGCCCAGCTTATCCGCTCCATGACGAGCTCACCATCATGATATCTTGATTATACAGGAAACCCTGTTTCTAATAGCGTTACAGAACAGCCGCTCTGCAAGGGTCAGATGCAACCCTTTCAGCAGGAGATGCTCGTCGTAAGGCAACCACCGCAGAAGCCAGCATCTATGATGAGGCGCAATCAGAAGTATGATCAGCCGAACGAGAAATTCCGACAACTGGTTGACGTAAAGTAGGCAGACTACGAACGCCTATGTGGGCTCCAGATAGCAGGTGTGCCACAAAGGTCACTTGAACTGCCCTCACCAGAGGTAACCGCATGTTGGAGTCTACCTTGGATGCATGCTGATCAATCATAGGACGATGAGTATGTCCCAACACCTGGTGGCAGAACTATTGGGAAATACCAAAATGCTCTTTATCACCGCGAAGGTCTCTTCTCAGTCATCTACAAAGCCCCTGCTCTAGAAGACAATAGCTACTTTCCTGCAGACACACCGTCTAAAACCAAAGTCGTCGCCCTCAAACTAACCACACCCTCTGTAATGGAACCACCACATGACTCCAGACGCGAAGCCATCATACTCAAGCTTGCGGCTTCTGACCATGTGATCCCACTTCTAGACTCTTTCCGTGAAAACGGCAGTCAATTTGTGCTTGTCTTCCCATACATGCGTTACGAGCTGGGCGAATTGCTACAGGACAAAAAGGTATCGAAAGTCCAAGGCAAAAAATACCTGAAAGATATGCTTTCTGGCCTCAGCTATATTCACAGCCAAGGCATCATCCATCGCGACATCAAGCCTTCTAATATCCTTCTAAAGTCCATGGATGGGCCAGCCTATCTCTCCGATTTTGGTATATCATGGGCAACCAATACCGTGGGCTCAGAACCAGCTGACAAAAAGATTACCGATGTTGGTACAACATGCTACAGGCCACCGGAGCTTTTGTTCGGCAACAAACAGTATGGATGCAGCCTTGACCTGTGGGCTGCCGGTTGCACGGTTGCCGAAGTCCTGGACCCGGCTCATCAGACATTGTTTGACTCTGGGGAACTTGGTAGCGACCTGGCGCTGATTCAAAGTATATTCAAAAAGCTCGGCACGCCGAATCTAGATGTTTGGCCGGTATGTTTTCGGATTTTTCATTTTCGACGAAGATACTAATATGCACCAGGAAGCAGCCAAGCTTCCAGATTGGGGCAAAGTACAATTCTACGAGTATCCTCCGCAGGACTGGTCCAAGCTACTCCCACAGCTGTCTGCAACCGAGCAAGATCTGGTGGGAGGCCTGGTCAAATATGAGAGCGGTGCGAGACTTTCTGCTTCAAAGGTGTGACAAAGATGTGACTGCTACGGGCCGACTATACTCACCACAACAGGCACTTGAGCACTCCTACTTCGTACTATGATGCCACCGAACATGCACAGTATGACCCGATCAAATGGCGTTAAGGGTTGAAAAGAGTTGAAACTAGTGGTACATGTAAATGTCGAGCATGTCTAATAACAGTCGCTGGGGAAGGAAAGCTTTCAAGGTAGATCGTACTATATAATGTGATACATACAGTAAATATTGCAGGTAGTTACTATTAGGTCTGATTCCTGTGAATCTACATGAATGTTAAAAAGACGGAATGTAGTCGAATCATGCATGACTCGCAGTTGGGAGAGATGGTACTAGTTATCTCGGCTAGTTTGAGGATCACGTTACTTGTGTTGTGTCATCAAAATAGCCAGCATGTGGCAGTGGCAGATCACATGATACTCAAACTACCCGAGCGCATGAGTAGGAGCTAGGAGTGTACACAAGGCAAAGACTCCCGCGGGCAGCCAGGCACGCTAAGCAGGGTTCATCGTCCACCATTCACGAGCGGCCGCATCACGCAGGACAACAGCGCGCCTCACATCCTTGCATACAATTCCCCCGCTGTCGAATCAATATCACAACCCAACCATAACTGCCTGCATGTCGTCGCCGCTCAGATAGCAGCTTCTCGGTTCCGGCTGCAAGTCACAGCCTTTCGCACCCACGCCGACACCCCACCTTGAAGCGCGCCCCGGAGGCTTTCCTCTCCAACTCAACATGGCTTTCCTCTTTCGCAATAAGCAGAAGAGCAACCTCGAGCTCACGCGATCAATCAAAGAGCTGGTCCTGCGCTTGAGCCAGGAAGACAAGGCCAATCCCAAGGTTCGGCTGATCTTTTGCCAGCGGGAATGCTGATTGCTTTGCTGACCACAGTAGCTGGAGGAGGGACTTGCGCTGGACTTGCAACAGATGAAAGTCCGGCTACAAGGCACTCCTGGTACGTCTCGAGCGCCTCATGTCCACTTTGTATGACCTGTATAGTTTCACAACAAGTGAGGTCTGCGCAGATAATGCTAACTCCCAAAAGACACAGAAGTCAACCCAGAGGCGGTGTTCCAACTCCTTACGAATATCCTCAACGAAGACTTGCTCTATGCTTTGGCTTTGAATATACATAAACTTCCGTTCGAGTCGCGAAAGGACACGCAAGTAATTTTCTCGACTGCCTTTCGGTACAAGCCCGCGGGTCAACCAGAGCCCCAAGTTCTGCAGCATGTTGTGCAATACCGGCCAGACATCATCATTGCATTGTGTCGAGGATACGATCGACGGGAAAGCGCAATGCCATGTGGCGGCATACTGCGGGAAGCACTGAAATACGATGCCATTGCAGCGTTGCTTTTGTACGATGAGCCACTGGAGGATGGAAAGTCGGTCGATTTGGCGAATGTGAATCCCGACCTCCCCTCGTCTGGAAACGGAGTGTTCTGGAAGTTCTTTGGGTGGATAGACAAGGGCGCGTTTGAAGTGAGCGCAGATGCGTTCAATACTTTTAGGGTAGGTACCGTAGGACGATCTGGATCGATCATGGATGCTGTGCTAATCGAGGCAGGAAATTCTTACCAAACACAAGCCACTGGTGGCTACTTTTTTGCAGACCAACTTTGACGCATTCTTTACGAAATACAACACCATGCTGGTAGGGTCAGAGAGCTATGTGACGAAACGGCAGTCGATCAAGCTTCTGGGTGAGATTCTTCTGGATCGGGCCAACTACAATGTCATGACACAATATGTGGACTCTGGAGAGCATCTCAAGATCATCATGAAACTGTTGCGGGATGACAGGAAGATGATCAACTACGAGGGCTTCCACGTCTTCAAGGTCAGTAGTACACGATTTCATGGCAATCAAAGGCGGATGCTCATCCAAGTACCCAGGTCTTCGTTGCGAACCCAAATAAATCGGTGGCAGTACAACGCATACTGATTAGTAATCGCGAAAAGCTGCTACGCTTCCTCCCCTCATTCCTCGAAGATAGGACGGAGGATGAGCAATTCATCGACGAGAAGAGCTTCCTCATTCGACAGATTGAGCAGTTACCCTCTGCACCCATGCCGCCGCCGCCGCCTCCTCCTCCTCCTCCAGCGGTGTAGGCAGGCAGGGCTGGAAAGGCGGTATTGTATTATGCATTTGGATCCTGCATGGACGGGGCGTTGGGATGATTTGGTTTACGCTTACTGTGTTGGTGTTGGACCATGAGGAATATCCTCTAGTGATTGCTGGTGAGACGGTCGTATCTTTGCATAGTGTATAGTTGTCTTGTTAGATTGGGGAGGGTGTAAACATTGGGGAATACGGTATGTATGTACATGACAAACGTGTTCGTCCCAAAGTCGTCTAGCCATGCAGAGACAGAGGAGAACAAAGGGGGAAAAGCAAGTGAGAGGTGAGAGAGGGCGGACGGGCCAATTTCCCCGCTTGCCCGGCGTGTGGAGGGAATCCCTGTCCAGATGTGGCACGCGAGCATGATTGGTCCTTGTACGAGCGGCCTGTTTGGTAAGGAATAAGGTTACCAGCCACGGCCGCGCGCCCTTGCACGGAGCCCTGGCGTAACCCTATCCGTTGTCACAGAAGGCTATGTTTGTCGTGAGGGCGGATAATAGGAGAAGCCGGGCCTTTGCGGGCTAGGCACGGTACCATGTCTGTATGTACAGTACTAGGTGTGATATGCATCATGTACCTACTCTACTACGTATGCACACAGGACGGCAAGGTACGGTACCGACTACTCTAGAGTACTGCGCCATTGATACCATGTGCACGCGTCCTGTCTCAACGAGGACGTGGGTTTGAGTAGCAGAGCAACAGCCTTCAGCACCGTCGGACGTCTTTTTTGTTGTTGCTTGTACATCTCCCCGCTACGCTACATAGTACACATAGCACACACACACACACACACACACACACACACACACACACACACACACACACACACTTCTCTCTCTCTCTCTGTCCTGACTGTGGCTGACTCCTCACCTCCTCGGCACCAGCCTCGGAAGATGCCCTAACGACCGACCGACCGCCTCTCCAACTCGTCCACTCGCAGCCAAGCCGAGCTAGAGCCCGATCAGGTGCACTTGCCCAGTGCCCACGCCGCTGGCATCGACATGACGGAGAGTTCAAGTGCCATTTCACGCTGGCTGGAGCTCCAGGACACGGCGACAACTCAGGGCCCACTGTTGAGCCCAGGCAATGACTTTCCCCTGCGTACCCTGCCCTCTCTCCCCTCCAACAGCTCGCTCTCTGAAGTAGACTCGGAAGACGCCCCCCGAGTGGCTGCTGCCCCCCCTACCAACATCGCGAGCCTCATCCACCCACCCACACCGACTATGCCCGATGACCAAGCCGCCGCTGCTCGACGACGTTCCTCCTCCATCGCCAGCGCCATCCTTCCGGCTTTCAAAGCCCCAGTCCCAAAGAGACACAGGAGAAACCGGCCGAGCGACCACATATCCGAGGAGGGCGAAGACCTGTACTCCGGCCCAGAGCGCTCCGACTCCGACTCGCGCAGTGACAGCACCGATTTCGAACTCGACGACATGAGCGCCGACGGCCTCGAAGATGACGAGGAGACTGGCCTCACCAAGAGAGACCGCCGGCGGCGACGGCGGAGAAAGCGCAGGAACACCCTGCTCGATCAGCGCATTGTGCCAGGGGAGAACAACTACACGAAAGAGGAGAAGAAGCTGGCTGACCAAAATCTCCTCCGGTCAATGACCATGAACGGAGTTCTCATTGCACTCTGGTAAGCACCCTTTTTCCCCAATCGCTCTCTTTTCGTCCCATTGGGCGTGGAACAGGATAGGTCGGAACAGGACAGTTGACAGCTTGCAGGTACCTTTTCTCCATATCCATATCCGTCTACAACAAATGGATGTTCAAGGAAGAAAAGGGCGACGGCGAAACGGCCAACATCTTTCCTTTCCCTCTTTTCACCACATGTCTGCACATGGTCGTCCAATTCTCACTTGCATCACTCGTCCTCTTTCTCGTCCCCTCCCTGCGTCCCCGCCACGACTCCCTCAACCCTCACGCGACCGGAGTGCGTGCAGAGCCAGTAGACCCAAGCAAGCCGCTCATGACCAAGTGGTTTTATTTTAGCAGATTAGGGCCGTGTGGTGCCGCCACAGGCATGGACATTGGGTTGGGCAATACGAGTTTGAAGTTCATCTCGTTGACCTTTTTCAGTATGTGCACGCTATTTCAAGAACTCTAGCATTCAGCCAAGGCTAACCCGAGCAGCAATGTGCAAATCATCTGCACTCGGCTTTGTCCTCATCTTCGCATTCCTCTTTCGCCTAGAACAACCCTCGTGGCGACTGGTGTTCATCATCCTCGTCATGACCGCCGGTGTAGTCATGATGGTCGCTGGCGAAGCAGCCTTCCACGCCCTGGGCTTCATCCTCGTCATGGTATCAGCCTGCTCCTCCGGATTCCGCTGGTCTCTGACTCAAATCCTCCTCCTGCGCAACCCCGCAACCGCAAACCCCTTCTCCTCCATCTTCTTCTTGGCGCCCGTCATGTTTACCAGCATTTTCATTCTCGCGATACCCGTCGAAGGCTTCTCCGCCGTGGGAGAAGGCTTGACACACTTGTTTGAAACCAAAGGCACTGGACTCGGTCTTGGCATTCTCCTGTTCCCTGGTGTCCTCGCCTTCCTCATGACTTCGTCCGAATTTGCTCTGCTGAAGCGCACTTCGGTCGTTACCCTTAGCATTTGCGGCATCTTCAAGGAAGTCGTTACGATTGGAACGGCAAACCTCGTATTCAAGGATCCACTTACCCCCATCAACTTGACTGGACTCGTCGTCACGATTGGCAGTATTGCTGCCTACAACTATATGAAGATCAAGAAGATGAGACAGGAGGCACTCATGGAGGCGCATCTTCAGAACCAAGAGACGTATGCGCCAGTAAGAATGGCGGATCCCGATCACAGGGACAGGAGAGGCTCGGTAGCGCATGCTCCAAGCCGAGGGGTTGTGGGTGTGAGGTCCAGTCTACAACTTGGATCTAGCATCATTGGACCGCCTGGAGGAGATGGCTCTGCAAGAGCAAGTCCAGTGAAGAGACCAGAGAATCTCGAGTAGCATAAGAGAGCATCGCAAGCCATAGTATTTTTGTTCATTTTTCTGAAATGATCTTCTTCCTCTTTTCTTTTGTGGTGCGTACATGGTTGCCTAAGCGGCGTTGTATCAAGACATGGAAATACATGTAGATAGAGTGCACTCCCTTTGATCAGGACCGGAACGGATGGATGCATCTGCCAGGTCTGGTTTAGCTCCATCTGATCTTGCTCATGGTAGCATGACATCTGACATTGTGGTGCATGACGCATTTAGGGCCTGAATAATTTAGCGGTCAAAGATGTTGTGTACTACTCTAGTAGTACCTAGAGTAGTAGTATGTAGTGCATGCGTCTGGGGTACGGCCTTGGCGGGCGTGGTGGCTTCACGTGGTCAAGGTTCCGTATCCGTCATGGATGCCTCTCCTCTTTTGCATCACGTCAACGTCAGGACTCCAGACTCTGGCTGGGAGGCTCAAAGATCCAAGCACAAGCGCCCTTTACACACTCAACTTCGGCAGCCAAGTTCCCCGTTTACCTATCCCCGTGCACATCGTCCGAAATGAGGGCGCAGTTCATATGACCATGGAATTAGCGCTGCGTGAACTCGTATTTAGCATAGGGTTAGGCCGTGCCAAGCTCTACTAGCTAGCTAAGCGAGGTTAACTAAATATTATGCTGTAAGATTTTGCAACGCGTTCTAAACCTGTTCTAAACACATTCTATACTAGTAATACTATAAGCCACCACCGCTATACCTATTACTAACGCATCCCTCTTATCCTACGTAAGTAGATTAAAACGTGTTTAGAACGTGTTCTTAACAGGTTATAGAAGCACTATTAATAGTACCTTGCCCTTAGCCACGTCCTAGATAATATTAGGGCATAGCCTGTAGTTAGCCCTAATAGGGCAGTTAAGATAGAGAGTAGAGAGCGCTACTACTATACTAAGATTAACAATAAGGGCACCTTATGCAGAGTAAGAACAGGTTCTAAACATGTTCTAAACAGGTTCTAATATTCTTAGGCTATTCTAGGTACTAGGGGCACTCTATATACCTATGCTAAAAAAGATTATAGGCTTAATATAGCCTACTATAAGGTTAGTAGGGTTAAGAAGACTAGCTAGCCCTCTATAACAGAGGTCTGCAAGGCAAAAAGTAAACATATTATTAACCTATTCTTAACTTGTTATACTAATATATATAGACTTCTATATAAAGGTTATATATAATTACTAGAACGCTTCTTGCTATAAGTTATTTAGAATATATTTAAAACTTATTGCTAACGTGTTTTATAGAAGTTCTCTAAGCCTAGCTAGCAGCTGCTATAGGCCCCCCTGCAAATACTAATACCCTCCTAAATATAATTTAAAAGAAGACTCGCAGTAGCTGCAACAGTAACAAGGTATAGCCTGCAAGAACCTATTAAAAACACGTTACTAACTTATTACAGCTTAACTTTGTTGCTATATCTACCCTACTAAGGATTTAAGGTTATTAGGTTCCTTATACTATCTGCGCTTATAATTATCCTAGCTATAGTAAGTTATTTATAATATATTATTAACCTATTCCTAACGTGTTTTAAGACTGTTACTTTAATGCTAGTGTAGACCTTGCTAATTCCTGCTAGAATGCTACCTAGTTCCACTTGCAGTATGCTTTTGTAGAGCCTAGGGAGGATAGAGAAGATACTAGAGAGGGGGAGGGAGATAATAATAGCAACAAGTAGGAACACGTTAAGAACGTGTTAAGAATAGGTTCTAATAAATAATGTACAATAGCATATAACCTAAAGGGGTGGTAGTAATTACTAAAATAAACTCTCTACTCTTCTCTTTTTTTTTCTATCTACTAAAAGTAAAGTACTATTTACTTTTATAGGGTCCTTTAATAGTATATAACTTTTTCTTTTAACTTTTATAGGTATTGTAAAGCTCTAGTAGTCCCTTAGATTAAAGAAGAATCTAGTATTTATAGGTGTCTAGCTATAATATATTGTTAATATGTTCTAAATGTGTTTTAAGAGACTAGACTTATATCTCCTTTTTACTACTTTTGCTAAATATTATTTACAGTGTAAAGGGGAGCAACTATTTGCTCCTCTTCTTTACTCTCTACTTCCTCTTTAGCCTCTACTCTAGCTACCACTTCTTATTATAGACTAGCTATCTTAGAGGATTCTTGAACCTTAGAGGAGGCACTTAGTGTAGTCTGCTCTACTAGCGGAGAACGTATTGTTAACGTGTTTAGAACACGTTCTTAAGCATTTACTATTAAGCTCCTATAGAAGATCCTTGCTTCTATAGTGCCTTATATTATAGTTCTGCTATAGTTTACTAGGGCTATTTAAACCTTAGGATAATACCTCTTAAGGTAGTAGATAAGATTGCCTCTATTAGAGAAGTAACGCTAAAATAGTTGTTAACATGTTGTAAACGTGTTCTAACTCGCATGTATACATACTCTACAAAGTTCCTGTACCCCTAATCTAGCCTAAATAGCCTAGTAGAAAAGCTTGCTAGGAAATACTATACACCTATTATTTAGGTAGGATGTTACAGGAGAGAATGCCCTAGTATTAGATAGAAGTAACTTAAGCTTAATATATCACTAGTATAAATCCTACTTAGTGTTAGAACAAGTTTACAACGTGTTCCTAACGCGTTCTATTATATACTAACTTTAAAAGATCTTTGTAGACTATATTAACTAGTTATATCTAATAATATTAGGAAAGATAGATAGTAAAACAGTATTAAACTCTTAAATATAAAAAGTTCTTGTAGAGTGTAAGAAGAAAGAAGAAGAAAGAGAAGAAGAAAGAATATATATTTATCCACTTATATATGCTTATATAATAGACTAGAACATGTTAAGAACTAGTTAGGAACTAGTTACTATATTTGTAGACTAACCCTACCTCATATAAAAAGTAGCTATCTCTTTCTTAAGTTTAAACTGTGCCTTTTGCAATTTAAACAGTGCCTTTTTCTATGTAAGTTCTTCCTTATCTACCTCTAGCTTTTCTTTTCTCTCCTTTAGAGCCTAATTACTAAGAAGAGCCTTTTATTATAAAGTTTATAGTTATAGACTAATAATAAGTTAGGAACGTGTTATAAACGTGTTTCGCAAAGCATACCTTTAGGTTACTATTAGTAGAGGAGAAGAGCCTAGTGGTAGAGAAGATAGAAAAGGGGCTAGTGAACTTCTTTCTAATACTACTCTACTACTTGCCCTCTAGCTTTAGGCTTTTAAGCGTGCTCTTTTATTTCTTATTAAGACTAAGACATATCTAGTTAAGTTAGATATAGCAAGACTTGCTTTATTATTATCTAGAGTATTATTATTGTTGTAGGACGCGTTCTAAACACGTTCTAAACACGTTTTAATTAGCAAATGTGTATAACGCTAGCGTAAGACTTACTTTCTCCCCTCTAAAGCTTTTTAAGGTACCTTTGCTTAAGCCTATTAGGAGTTCTATAGTTATAGCGTATTCTAAACTTGCTCTAGGCTTTAAACTCTTTTATATCCTACAGATCTATCTAGTGTGTACTACACAATATTACTTATATAATTCTAACAGGTTAAGAACAGGTTGTAAACTTACTTCTAAGTAGCCTTAAGAATACTTACATGCTTACTAGTTTTATATCCTTTCTAGCCTGCTTGCTTAGCTACATTTAAATAAGATTCTAGTTTTTCCTATACCTCTTTTAATATTTTACTATAGCATTACACAATCCTAGCAGCAATTACTAGGTTTTTCTTATAGATTACCTAGTTTTAGGCATCTTTAGAGGGTTCGTGTTCTAATTATGTAAGAATAAGTTAGGAACATATTTAGAACAGGTTTAGAATATGTTTACTTACGTAAGAGGAGGTTAGCGAAGCGTACCGAAAGTATTCCTCTACTATTAATACCTATAGTAATTCACTTAGATATAAAGAGGTAGTATTATCTAGCTCTCTTTTATATACTTTGTGAATACTTCTTTATAGATGTACTTAACAAAATCTTATACAAGATTAAAGTTACTAGCGCTAGTCACGCTTATAGGGATTAATTAACTAGAGATAGCGCCTAAGTCCTAGAAACAAGTTAGAAACACGTTACAAACATATTACAGTGCGCTGTAAAACTTGCCTATTATCTACTTATTACACATGTTAATAGTAGTCCTATAGAATCCCTGTAAGTAAATATGCCTCTATAACACTTATCTTTTTATAAGTGCTTTACACTTCTAAAAGAAGTTAGTAATAGCAACTTAATACATCTTAGTTGTGTCCTTATCTATAATAATTTAGCTAAGTGTAATAACTGCAATGTGTTAGAAACGTGTTATAAACCTGTTCTTAATGCGTACGCTTCTTTTCCTGCAGGTAGAAGATTACTATTAGAATCTCTACCTATGCCCTATATAACCTCTTATATAACATATCTATCTAGAACGTGTCTTAATCTAATAGAATTAATGCCTACTCTTTAAAAAGGCAAATAATTAAGTTACCTAAGCTTAATATAAAGATTTGCTATATGTACGCCTATAGTAACGTGTTAACAACATGTTCTAAACCTGTTCTCTTACACTACGTATAGTTTTAGGATCCTAATACTTTGTCCTCTACTTATAGTATACTCCTCTAAGGCTACTCTTAAATAGGAACTATAGAAGCTTTTTACGCTTTATAATACGCAAGATTTTATCTTTATTTACAAAGCTAATATACATTTCTTTAATAGAATAGAAACCTTTAAGTTAGAGATAGGTTTAGAGCTAGGTTAAGTTCAGGAACTAGGCTGTAACAAGTTAGGAACATGTTTGTAACAGGTTGCAAACAACTTATATTACGTAAGCTGCAGAGTAAGCATAGGCTATAATACCTTTACTACTTCCTTAATATTACTATTAGATAGTATTAAGGGAGGAGGAGGTATATATATATGTATACTAAAAGAAATAATAGTAAAAAAAGGTATTACTACTATATCTATTAGTATAATTACTTAGAAGGTAACTTTATATAGGATTTTAAATAGAGATCCTTACCCTTATAGATAATTAACGCCTAGAATATATTAGGAATATATTAGGAATAGGTTACAATATACCTACTATACTTCTTTATCTAGCTTAACTATAGCTTAACTATAGAATATAAAGCAGGACTACTAGAAAGATTTAATATCTCCCTAGTTAGAAGACCTTATAGATATATAGAGTCTACCTCTAGTAGTACCTAACTAAAATAATATTTTTTCCTAGTAGTAGATATTAGGCTATAGTTCTAATAGCTAATATATAGTTAAGCCTGTTCTATAATTTACTAACTTATTATTAATATATTTTAAATATGTTTAAGTTTCGCTCCCTACCTAATTTACTATAGTCCTTATTACAGGATAACAAGACACCTAGTAGTCCTTACAAATCCTTAAAGAGAAGCGCTTAATAAGGCTATAATAATAGCTTCTTGTTTGTAGTTCTCTTTGTAGAATTTTCTTAGGTACTACACTTTTTAAGGTTTAGATCTAATTATACAATACGTTATTAACAACGTAATAAGAACACGTTTATAACGTGTTCTTAAGATACTTACACGCTTTTACCCTAGAGTATTAGTATTTATACTAGCTTGCTAGCTAGCTATTAAAGAATAGTAAAGTTGTAGGCCTATTAAGATAGATAGACTAGTAGGAGTATTATACCTACTAGAATTAGAATAATTTAAGAATATGTTCTTAACGTGTTACCTGTGTAGCCTACATAAGCACCTCTTCTCTTATTAGGTAAGAGCTATCTTTATATTGCTAAACTAGTATTATATACCTATACCCTTAGCTATGTGATTAAGGGTATACTAGGAGAATAGCTACATGCTTAATAATTACTAGTGTAAGTAGTGGTCCTTAACTATTACTATAAGTAAGGTATATATTGTGCCCCTATAACGTGTTACTAACCTGTTCTAAACTTGTTCTATTTACTTTTACTTACTTCCTTAATACTACTACTACTATCCTCCTCTAGCACTTTATACAGTTGCCTAAATTTATCTCTAATATTACTATCTAGTTTAGATATATTATCTAGTACTGCTATACTAAACTCTAGTATAGTATTTAGGAACGCCTATATATTATTAAGAACAGGTTTAGAACACGTTTAAAAAAGATAGTAATAAAAACTGCGTTTACTTGCTTAAATTACCCTAATTTATACTTGACCATAGGCTAGTTTATATAACCATAAAAATTTGCTGCTGTGACGTGGACTTGAACCTACAGGGATATTCCAACCACTCGGAGTAAAGCCCAAGTCGCCCGACGCTAAACCCATGGTCATATGACATGCCACCACGTCCGAAATCGTGCATGAATCAGTCTGGGTTTCTCGGCTTTCTCCGTGAACCAGCCGAAGTAGCCTCCTAACTTCCTAAGCTCCTGCTCCCCGCCTGCGCCTCGTTTTCTACCACCTATCGGTGGGCCGGTCTTTTGAGAGCGGCCGAAACTCCACATCGGGCTCCTAGGCCTCACTGGGGCTCACGTAGATACTGTACGCGACGTTTCCTGACCCTGGATACAAAAGACCACCGCCTTCGTCCGCGACAGCACCTCGCCGCTCCGCCGCCATGCGGCCACTCACCACACTCCAGGCGCTCTCGCTGGCGCTGCTCCCCTCGTTATCATTTGCACAGGAACTCGGCATCGAAGTCACTCGGCCTGTTGAGTGTACACGCAAATCCAAGAATGGCGATGCCCTGTCGGTCATGTACAAGGGCACACTGCAGAGCGACGGCAGCGTGTTCGACTCGAGTTATGATAGCGGGCGGCCGTTCATATTCGTCATAGGCAATCGCCAGGTCATTCTAGGATGGGAGCTTGGTTTGTTGGGCATGTGTATAGGGGAGGCGCGAAAGTTGACGATACCGCCAAAGATGGCATATGGCAACAGCCAGAATGGCAAAATCCCCCCGGGCTCAACGCTAAGTAGGTTATGGATGCCCCCGGGGGCATGAAAGTAGGTCTAACACTGTCACTAGTCTTCGAAACCGAACTCATGGGCATTGAGGGCGTCAAGGCCGAGCCAGCACCGGCGCCTACCAAGCCGTCTCCCATGGCTCCAGACGAGACGGTGAATGCGAATGACACACCCGTGCTACCCTCTGCCGAAGCTGAGAAGATAACCCACACCCAGACCAGCCCCATGGACGATGAAGAGGGCGGTGGCGAGTGCAACTTGCTTGGGAACTTTGCTCTCTTGGTTCAGGGTGCACTGGGTCTGCTTGCCGTCTCCTCGCTCGCTATCAAGCGCATGAGGGAGTCGCCGAGGCGGCCAGTCAAGATCTGGTTCTTCGACGTGTCGAAGCAGGTCTTTGGTTCAGTCTTGTTGCATCTGGCAAACATCCTCATGTCCATGCTGTCGTCCGGCTCCTTTGATGTCGCGACCAAAGTCGCTGCAACGGCAGCAGACCAAAAGGGCGATCAACCAAACCCCTGCTCGTTCTACCTGCTCAATCTTGCCATCGACGTAAGTGGCTTATCCGGCAAGATAACAGAATCAATGCTGAAGACTCTAGACCACTATCGGAATTCCCATCCTTGTCCTCCTCCTCAAACTCCTACATCGTGGCTTTGCCCTCACGTCACTCGCCAACCCCCCAGAATCCATTCGCAGTGGCAACTACGGTCACCCGCCCCGCGCAACCTGGTGGCTTAAACAATCACTCATCTACTTCCTCGGCCTCATCGGCATGAAACTCTGCGTCCTCGCCATCTTCACTTTCCTCCCCTGGATCGCATGGGTTGGCGACTGGGCTCTCCGCTGGACCGAAGGCAACATGGCGCTGCAAATCACATTTGTCATGTTCATCTTCCCCTTGATCATGAACGCAGTACAGTACTGGATCATTGATAGCTTCATCAAGGACCAGGACAATGCCGACGGTCAATATACCGTTGCTCCCGGCGGCGACAGCGACGACGAAGGCGACGAGGAGTGGCTGGAGAGGCAAAGACGGAGGCGTGAGGCGGGCCTTGATGAGGGTCAGGATAGTGATATTGAGATTGAGGTTGCGGAACCCGAGGCGCTGAAGGAGGCGAATCCAACACTCTTGCCAGTCCGTTCGGGCCAAAGAAAGGACGTCGAGTATGATCCTGCAACGGATGGACAGTGCAGCATTCCGCTTGGTAAGAATAGGAGAGTGTAGAATGTTTTGGTTTTTCTGTGGGTGCTGTTGTTATAGACGGTATTGTTGGGGGTGTTTTTAGCATTCTGTTCACTAGGCATAGTCTGTCGTTCTATCGCAATTCTGGAACTCTATTCATCACTTGAAATATTTGATATGACGTTCAGCCTCTCTCTCTCTCTATGTCACATATGTCACATATGTCGTGTAAGCTGCGACATGCACTGATAAACAAGAAACACTGGCCCAAAATATCTTCGTTCTGACAGCAAAACCTAAGTGGTAGTATTTCTGAGATGCCATACAAGGGCCATGCCAATATACAAGTGTAGCTTCATGGGATGGGAGGACATGCGGGGAAATCACATTCAAGCAGCTCGAAGAAATAAATAAAAAACCCCTCAAAACGCTTCACTCCTATCACAACATGGGCTTGATCTCCTCGGCCTCTTTGAAATCCGCACCCGTTTTCGACCGGACTTCGTCGACGGTAACGCCGTCTGCTAATTCGATCAGGGTGAGTCCGTTTGTGAAGTCGACGTCAAAGACACACTGGGTGTGATGTTAGTGTCGATAACACATGTCCATATTCATACGGGACAAGCAGCCGCGCTCTGGATTGGAGAGAGAGAGAGAGAGAGAGAGAGAGAAAAGAGAGGAGGGGAAGAGAGGAAGAGGAACAAAAAGCCAACCTACCAAATCCGTAATGATGCGACTCACACACGCCTTGCCCGTGAGGGGAAACTCGCACTGTTTGAGAATCTTGGGCCTTCCCTTTTTATCCACATGCTCCATGGTCACCACCACCCTCGTCTGCTGCGGGTTACTCACGAGATCCATGGCGCCGCCAAAGCCCTTGACTTTGCCCGGCAACATCCAGTTGGCCAAGTCGCCCTTTGCAGAGACCTGCATGGCGCCGAGGATGGTCATGTCGATTTTGCCCGCCCGTATCATGCCAAAGGATTCCTCGGAGCCAAAGCACGAGGCCCCGGGCAGCAGCGTGACGGTTTCCTTGCCGGCGTTGATGAGATCGGCGTCTTCGTGGCCGGGCTGGGGGTAGGGGCCGAGACCCAAGATGCCATTTTCAGATTGCAGTTGGACGGTGATGGAGGGGTGGACAAAGGAGGGGGCGAGCATGGGCATGCCGATGCCTAGGTTGGCGTACATGCCGTTTTTGAATTCCTGGGCTGCGCGTCGAACGATGCGTTCGCGTTTGCTGGCGGTGGCGCCGGTGCCGAGGGTGGCGGTGATGTCGTCGGAGGAATCCTTTGCGTTGACGATTTTTTCAATCTTCTTGGGCGCGGTGGATTGGATGATGCGGTCGACGTAGATGCCAGGAACGTGGACGGCATTGGGCGCAATCTCGCCCACCTCGACAATCTGTTCTGCTTCTACAATGGTGACTTTGGCATTGCGCGCCATGGCTCCATTGAAGTTTTGCGCTGAGAAGCGGAATTCCAGGTTTCCGAGGCGATCAGCCTTGAAAGCCTTGATGAAGGCGTAGTCACCCTTGATGGATTCTTCCATGATGTAGGATTTCCCACTGAAGACTTTGACATCGCGCGGCGTCGAGTATTGGGCTACGCTGCCGTCGCTGTTGTGGCGGAGGGCAAGTTCACCAGTTTGCACAACGGTGCCCATGGCGGCTGGGGTATAGAAAGCTGGGATGCCGGCGCCGCCTGCTCGACAACGCTCAGCGAGGGTGCCTTGCGGGGTGAGTTCGAGTTCGAGTTCGCCGGAGAGATACATTTGCTCGAGGACCTTGTTCTCGCCCACGTATGAGGCAATCATCTTCTTCACTTGTTTGCTTTCCAGCAACAGGCCTAGGCCGCTGCCCACGATGCCAGCATTGTTGGAGACGGCGGTTAGGCCTGTGATGGACGGTGTGTTTTTCACTTGGTTAATAAGGGTGTCGGGTACACCAGAGAGACCAAAGCCGCCAACGAGGAGGGTGCTGTTGGAGGCCATGTCTTCAATGGCTGCAGCGGGAGAGGGGTACACTTTGTTGATTTCATTGCGGCGGAGAGACGAGGAGAAGCTGCGACAAAGGTTGAGATAGGTCTGAATATGTTAGATGAATTGAAAGAAAGGTTTGATGTTCAAGAGCTGATGTTTACCTGCGTGCTGCTGCGCGAGAACACACGCGCGGTGCGGAGAGTGCGGGTTAGTGACGGCATTGTGGTGTCTTGTTATGACTGCAATGCACACAGCTTCTTCCAAACAAATACAACAGTCACAACAACCAAGTCAGCCAACGCCGCTTTCTCCAAAGAAAGCAAGAAAAACAAAAGTACTGCGCAGAAAGTGGTTTGCGGCCGTGAACGGGTTTACCACTTTAGGTACGTACCCTTCATCCCTCTTTGGTCGTGGCCTCGGGCCTGGTTCGACGTCGGTGGGTTGCGTCGGCATCTCTCGCAAACGGACGGAAACGCGGCTCAGTTCCGGGGCGGACTGTGGAGAAGAACCGGGCAAGATGGGAGGACGGAATTGTGAGGTGGTGGTTGGGGGGTGCGGAGAAGCTGGTCACGTGAAAGCGACGTAGTCTGCATTGGGCTTGTGATTGGATTGCCATGGCTTACTCAGGCTGTTGACGGCGCCTTTGCCATCCCTTCATGGTCCGCGGCTTGGGTTCAACATCATCTCTTCACGCAAACTTTGTGCGACATGGGTGAAGTCGCAGCACTTGACCTGTAAGAAGTCTCCATGGTATTCCATGCTGCTATTACCGGTTCTGCCACGCAGCAAGCACAGGGAAGTCATGCCTAATGCATTTCGACATGGCCATGTTTGCACATTACAACTTCTCCACGAGCTGTGCTGGTGCGAACGTGGGAAATTCATGTGAGCCATAAGAAGAGTCAGATCACTGACTTCTCCTGTGTCATAGTACACACTCATGATAGAACATCTTTGGTGACTTTCCTCGACATATAAAGCGTCTCTAACAGAGTTTGTACCTCCACTCTTTCGACTCTTGTTGCATTCCTGGTTCTACGATACTCCCTTCAAGTCATTTCTCGGTGGTTCTCTGATATTTCGTTCCCAAACTCTGCAAATCATTTCAAGTCCACCAGTAGCATAAGCATGGTGTCGAATTCCCGCCTCTTCCTCCTGGTACTAGCCGCAGTACCCTTTTCATTTTCCAGCTTCACGATCAGGCAGAGAGATAATGTCCCAACACCAGCTTTGCCGTCTTCCGCACTATCCACTGCTGCTCAACCCAGCTCTGCATTCACAGCGGCTGCGCCAATACCGTCATATGGTTGGGTGTCAGAGGTAGGCGGTACATATGGTAATGTCGTCTTACGCAACAACTGTAAAGAACAACTCCATTTGTGGTCAGTAGGTGCAAGACTCATGCACGGTCCTCGTACCAATAACTCTTGGAATGCCTATGAGGACAGCCTTATGAAGATCATCAAACCAAATGAGAACTACACCGAGCCATTTCGAGTCACCTGTCCCCCCACCACCAACAAAGCCGATGTATACTGCCAAGACCACGATAAGTTGCGTGGCCAGGGCGTCTCTATCAAAGTCTCAAGGAATACAACTATTACAGATATTTTGCAACTCGAATACGCACTCGTGCAGAATGCACTTCAGAGCACCACACACCAACTCATTTACGATGTCTCGCTGCTAGACTGTGCAGACCCTGGTGTCAATGCTACCATCACCGACGCTACTGCTACGACGGAAAATCAGAATGCCAAACTCAAAGTCTGCCCTGGATATCAGAACGGGCTCTCGGTGAAGTTCGACCCAGATCCGGGAGCGACTGTCTGTCCGCCAATCCAATGCACGGGCAAGGAGGAGCCGGTGTGCACCCAGATCTACAATTTTGATAGGACGAGAAAGGGTGAGGCGACAATGGCGTGTACGAAGGAGTACAAAGGGAGCATGATTCTAGATTTGTGTGCTGGTCATTAGCAGGGCGATGAATAATTGAGTTGGGTAGAACTCAGTCACGTCTCTATGGCTATCTCGTTTGCAAGCGACATACGACTCATCTTCTTCTTCGACTTGAACAAATGGCCTTGATCTTTGTTTACATCAATTTCTTGCATGGTTCGCTATTGTTCAACAGGCTTTGGGTACTGTGTCAATAGCAATTTGTACACGTAGGTCGTCTCAAATGGTGAGATGTATTATTAGTCAACTTGAAGACCAAAGCAAGTATGTTGCCTGAGACCTGAGATACATTGAATCTAGTCAACGCATCTTCAAGTCCTTTCCTTATGCTCGTTACTCCTTCACCCTCCATCCCTGTACTTGTCGGCTGAGTATATCTCTACATGCAGTTGAACATTAGCCTAGTGTCGTGCCTACCCTGCAAAAGCTTCGAGAAACTTACCATTGTAGAATCCTCATACCACACAACGCATCCATACCCTCAAATACCCTCATCATACAATCGCCTAGCAGCCTGCTTCAACTCAAGCATCGCCTCCGGTGACGGCACCAGTCCCATTTCTTCATACTTCTCCAGCTCCGCCTCAACATAGTCTTGCGGATAATCGTCAAGGGCAAATTCGAACCGCATGTTTCCTGGCACCTTAACTGTGCCGTCCCCGAACAACAGAGCGAAAGTGTCTAGTCGGTCAATCGTCAATGGATCGGGACTTTGCCACAGCAAATGAGACAGTGCACTTGGACCCCGGATCGCACAGTGCAGTCCAATAGCAATATCGAGCCACTTGCAAGCTAATGACCACATGCATGGAGCTTGTATCGTGATATTGACATGAGGGTACTCCTCACAGACTCCCCTAAAGTTCTCCACGTACTTTGGAAAGTCGGCGCACTTAGTCTCACCCTCGATGTACTGCCAGTTGTTCCCAATCACAATCACACGGCGCAAATTCCGTCTCGCAGGCCCGCTCATCTGGCCGAACAAGACTTTCAACTCGTGGACCGAAGGCCTGAATTGGCACAAGCATACCAAATCAATTGTCTCATTGGCCTCGAAGATGGCGTCTCGGCTCTCGTTGTACAGTTGTCTGCATAGGGGTTTCAGGAAGTTGGCAGCCCATTTTGTCTTGCGTCTGAAGGGTGTCTGCTCGAAGTCGCCGCTGCCGTAAGGGGGCCGGAGGGGTAAGGTTCTGGGCTTGATAATGATGTCCATGATGGGCTGAGTGTTGGGCTTGGCCTCGATCACAACTTGCACGCCGGTTTCCGGGGCGAGTACGTATTTGAGAATCTCGTCTCGGACTTCTCTGGGAAGATTCAGTAAGGTAGAGGTTTGGCAGACTGTTATCTCTTTGTTTTGTGATAACTCCTGGGGGTAAGTGTCGAAGTCGAATTCGGAGCCGGAGTCGGAGTAGTAGTTGAAGTCGTAGTCGAGGTCGAGGTCGAGGCCGAGGTCGAGGTTGAGGTCAAGGTCAGGTTCGGACATGGTAGGCAATATATTTTCCATCTAGACGTTATGCTTAGTAGTATTCACGCTGCGAGTATTGTTCAACGTTCATACCGTCAGTGCCAACCAGATTTTTGGGTAGGAAGTGTTAACAAGATGGTTGAGTAGAAAGCAGTGTCAAAGGCCAGTGGTGCAAAAGTTTTGAGGTCAGTGAGCTCTTTTATAAACAAGTGGACGCACGGGTATTGAGTGAACCGCAGTTCTTAAGTCTTAGCGTCGCCAGGCAGCCGTCTAGTGCGTGAATTCTATCAAGATCAAAACAGACTATGCCTAACACAGAGGTAAATAACACCGTCCACCGTTTGTTCTTGCCACTCTATATTGATAGGAATGGCAGGAACGCCCTTTTCTTGACGAGAAGTGAATGGGAGCATAGCGATTCTACACCGACTCAACACTAGCGCACTACCGACTTGATACCAACTCCATGCTGATGCCATACCGCCCCAAGAACTAGTCTTCAAAGACCCCCTTAGCCACATCTATGCTCATATTCACCAATGCTTCCTTAAGATTAAGTGTCTCACTACTAGAGGTACCGTATCGACACCACCCCTTCTACTCCAATCACAGAGTAGGCAAACAGCTCAGTAACGCTCGACAGCCATTCTCTACCACATACACCGCATCCAGCCGCTATTTACCGAAAGACTCATACATGACAAACAAGACCTTATCGATTCATAAGGGTGACCATAAGCTATGGCGGGGCTCTGGCGCGAACGGGGGGTATGAGCTATCCTACTCACCCGCAATCCAACTTTGGCGAACAATACGTAAGACATTGGTTGTTTGCCACAGTGGGAGTACGCAGCGGCCTCACAGTGAGTGTTGATCTTTGGCTGCGTCCTAGTGTGACTCGACACTGGCGAAATATGTCTTTGATACACACATATGGAACACTGGCCGGCATTGATGAGTGAGTGGGCAATGGCTATGCGAAAGCTTGACTATGAACTGTGGGATACATGTAATGTCTTGAATAAGTGTTGTCTTCTCGCTAGATACTAGAGTATGCGTATAGCTTATCTGCCAACGAGTCCAACAACTTACAGTATATACCCTGCATACCCAAGCAACCTTACAACACACACATCCTAGCCCTCACAACCCGCAAAAACCTCCCAAACCCCACCCACGAACCCACGAAAACAGCGGCACCTTAGAACGCCCACACCATCCCATACATGGGCAACCCCCAAACCCACGAAAACAACAAACCCCACCTCACCCACAATAATACCCCAACGGTTTCCGCGCCGCCGCCCGCCCCGTCCATGCCACCAAGTCGTGATCCGCATAGGCCCAGTACTCGCGCGTAGCCTTGTACAAATGCATTCGCTCGGCTAGATTGTCTACGCCCATGATGTCTTGGAAGGGAATGGGGTTCTGCTGCTGGTTGGGGATGGCACGTGTTGGTGGTGGTGCGGTGCGGGGATCTGCGTGGTTGGGATGGGGTCCAGCGGTTGGTGGTTTGGAGGTGGTTGGGTTCGGTTTGGGTGCGTGGTTTAAAGTGCGTTGGGGAGGGGGTGGGAGTGGACGGTTGGTAGTGTTGGTGGTAGAGGGAGGAACTGACGGAGGTGGATTGATTTTTGCGAGGGTGTGATGTGATGGGGAAGAGGAGGTAGATGAAGTAGTAGTATCACGAGCTCGAGAGTCTTGAGCGCGCAAGGATGGTACACGATTTGTCTGGGTATGTTCAGATTTCGTCTTAATCTCGACTGAGCGAATGATTCCGACCGCAGTGGACGATTTCTCTTTGTCTAATCCGATTCTTTGCCGTAAGCGCGATATGCTGGGTCGCATTCTGAGTGACTGGCCGCTCATCACACTGTCCGATCTCGCAAATGGCTTGTGGCTTTCATTTGCGACCGTCGGGGGTTTTCGTGCTTCTGCATGATGCGAGATGGATTTGCTTCTGGAGAGTGTGATGGTGGCTGGCAGCGATATGCTTGGTCTGCGTATGGAGTGCGCAAAGGTGCCGGATCTCTTTGGGACTTCGATTTTCCCAGTAGCAACGAAGGTATGCGAGGGAAGCTCGTCAGGTTCCAAGGCACTCTTGGTGAAGTAGTGATCAATCTCCGAACCCATGTTGCCCGTGACATCGATACCGCCCACATGTTTGGCATCCATAGGCCCGGAGATTGTACTGATCATTGGCTCGGCTTTGGCTTTGAAGTGTCCTCCCATGCTCAGTCGTATGCAACTGCGGAGAATGCCGTGTTACAGTGTGACAGGATGACGTATGTATGGCGGTGCAATGTATCCTACTTCGATTACCTGGAGGGCAAGACGTGGGCGCGAATCGAAGTATGCCACAGAGGGAATATGTAGTGGCGCTATCATCGAACCAGGTGGAGCTCATGTCTGAATATAGGCTTAGGAAGCGCCAATTCAACCTGGTATGGGCATGGGCTTCCAACAAGTCGCATAGAATCATAAGGGGAGTCGGTAGTAATGCTAGCCGTCTGGCGACAAAAAAATGCGATTTGCGCCTGCATCAGACTAGCAAGAAGCGTGGTACAGACCGGAAAGGACGGGCTTGATATTACCCTGATACCCGCAGTGTCTCCGCGTTCTGGAAGCGGATCGTTATGGATGGGGTGGGCTCCTCTGAGACACACAATGTCTGGGTCCTAGCGGGTATATCGGCGAAGATTATTGATGATGGTCTCAGTGTGAGCGTCGGAGTACCCAGACTGAACGTGCAGAAATTGCCCCCAAAGCTGGAATAAGATCGAGGTCGAGTCAATATACCAGTCCATATACCCCTCAGCTTCGACAGTTCTAATGCAACGGCTGGATTCCGGAGCTGAGCCGAGCCGAATGTCGTGGTATTGACGTGCAGGAAAACAATCTTATCAAGGGATCAAGGTTTCTCAACACGGCTGATTTGTTCCTGATGCCTGAACCCGTTCGGATGGTGTTATGCAGGCTTCCATCTTGTCCTTTCTCGAAGGCTTTCCATGTCGTTGGCAGGTTTACCTAGCGGAAAGCGAGTTGCAAACCGCAACGATCCGAATGACCACTGGAAGGTTTACCATGGTTTCAGAGAGTAAGGTGACTTGAGCATAGAGAGATCATGTGCAAAATCTTTATACATCTTTTGACCGTGCATCTTATTCGCTGTTCATTGGATAGATTAGAGCGCGTCCTTGGCTGCTCCCGTAAGTCATTGAAGAGCGAGTAGACACCATGGCCTTGTGCACAAAGTCATCAAAACACAACGATCGCGCTTCTAGACATCACGCAATAGGCTTCCACCGCCAGCTGGCGTCGCCTCTGCAGGTCAAGTGCTGGTAAACGAAGACCATGAAGCAATCGACGTCTCCAAAGCTTTCGCGAAGTGTCTCATCGGCCCTTCAGATCGCTTGGCGCGAACCCCTGTTCTCGGGAGATCTGCCAATCAGAGCGAGGGAAAAGGGTACTCTCTGTCCCTGAGGAGATTAGTCACCCCGCTCTACTACATTCCATTCCACTTGTACGCTGCAGGTTAAAAGGCTTCGAGTCGTGGATTCAGACACAGCACCTAGGAGGAGACATCATGCAATCCTTCAGGTACGCATGTGGCGAGGCTGGCGGCTGTCGTTACTGCAGCTGCATGACAGGTGTGAAGCAGAGCCTAGGGCTTGGATAGCTATAGCATGGGGTGACATTTGTTCGAGAGGTGTATATAAGTATACCACGTCTTTGTGATGATGGAAACCATCTCATCAGCTTCTAGAAGTCCTTCGCTATCCTTTATTCTTCTTCGTCTAGTTACGTTCTAATCAATCGTTCCTGGTGATCGATCGGCCAGTCCATACCAAAGTTGTAACTGCTCTTCACTTCTATTATCCTTCTTACGATTATATCATCTTTCATCATGAAGTACGAACTTCTTGCCCTTGCCCTCATCGGTGCCATTGCTGCCCACCCAGCCCCCAGGGCTACAAAGCGCGAGGTTCCTCAGGAACACTCGCATGAAAACATCTTGAGGGCTGTCAACGAAGTCTTGCAGCAAGACAACCCAGATGAGATCCAAGATGCTGTGTTTGGCCTTCTAGGTGCAGCGGCGGCAGCGGAGGGTGCTGGAAATATCGCTGATGCTGGCAAGTGTTTATATAGAAGATGTGCGGATGATCAATCACTAATATCCACAGACTGCCTACAGCAAGCAACCGCTGACCAGGCCTTCACCAACGCGAAAGCTGCTGGTGACGTGGATGGAATGACCAATGCACTCATATACCGTGCATTAGAACGCAACACTGGTTCAGTCGGACTGGCATCTGTGCCTTGCACATCCATCGAGGCGGTCAACCCTGAGATTGCAGCTCTTCAGCAGCACCAGGACCCTGCCAGCGACGGTGCCAAGGAGTTGAACAAGGAGATTGCATCTGAGCTTGCACGCCAGATTTCCGCCATTGGTGGCGACCCAGCACTTGCGAATGAGGCATCGACGTTTGAGCCTGGCGAAATTGGCGACCAGACCGGAGCCGGTAATACCTGCGACGATTTGGATGATGCGGCAGGGTGTATCAACACGCTTAACCTCCGCGTTGATGATTTGAGCGAAGACGAGATCGCTGCAGCTGTGGATGGTGCTGGAGCTGGCGAGGCCGCTGCTGACAATAATGCCAACGCTGATGCCGATGCCGATGCCAATGCTGGTGACAACAACGCCAATGCAGACGCTGGAGGCGATGGCGGCAACAACAACGCCAATGCAGACGCTGGAGGCGATGCCGGCAACAACGACGCAAGCGCAGACGCTGAAGCCAACACGGGCAACGACAACAACGCGGCTAACTCTTGCAACAATGCCAACAGCTCCCAGGCCGACAACGAGAGTGCCAACGCCAACGACACCGGCAGTAACAACCACCAATAAGTACACAGGCTAGCTGCTGGCACTGTTAGTACTTGCGATAGGGCTACCTTCTGCTGCCTCCAGGGGCTGGATTGGAGTTTGCTTTCAAGGGAGGGGCTGTAGAGCTCCGACGACATAGGTACTCGACCTAGGTAGTATAGTAGTCCAAACAAGGGAAATATTAGAAGGATGAGAAGCCATATCATTGCGTGCTTGAATCATCGTATATAAGATCCGCCATTGGGCGCAGAGTAATTGACACCACTGCATGTTTATTGGAATAGGCTTCATGGTTAGTGTATGTAGTCAGCTGGGACCAGTGCGAAGTTTAGATCTGTGCCAGACGGTAGCATCCGCTATCGTCGATGTGGGCCGTTACTTATGCCTTGATGGGGTTTAGCGGGACCTTGTGTCACTGTCACTTGTATGCACAGTCAGCCTAGAGTAGTTGTCATGGGTCCATTTGTGGACTACGCAAAGCGTGCGACAACTTGGTGCATGGGTGGCCATGACGAAAGCGTACCTGGAAGATGTGTCCAAAGAGTCGGTCGAATCAGTCATGGATTCCCCGTCCCAAGGCGTCAAGATATCATGCACAATAGCCGTTTCTTCAGCTAGGGCTAGAAACTGACGCATTACGGTTTGCCTAATCGAGCGCCTGCAATGGCATTGTTTGTACGCGCAGGGGGGTGGGGGGGCACCAATGGCTAGCCTGGAAGCATTCAGCATATGCAGTTCTTGTGTTCGCATACATTGCAGATAGCACAGTGTCCAGCCAGCTGTATGCAGGTCTGAGCATGGCTGCGTTGCGCTGAAGGTAGAGGAGTTTGGGGCCTCGTGCTGGCTGCGGCCGACTACAAGGCCCTCGTGGTGCGACTGCGGTTGCACGCTTTGCTTTTGTGAAGAATGCAGAACGGTAGCCAATGGGAGTCGGCAAGGGCGGTCGATAATGTGATTATCGTATATCCAAAATCGGCGACAGACTTGCGCGTTTGGAACATGGAGCTATTGGAGAGTGTGATGAAGGTTGCAGCTGACCTGGGCCGTTCTCGCAGCCAAGCGCGGCTCGTCCACAACGTCTTGCGTCCTGCGTCCACTTTTGGCGAGAGGCAGGGCGTTTTGGTCTCGACTGGCAACCGCCGACTGCGACGACGGATCAGCGATTCGGCGAGTACTTGATTGCCTGGCAGTCCAAGCGGAGACGGTGAATGTGATGGGTGATGCTGAACAAGCGAGTGGCAGTGGTCACGGGTGATGTCCAAGAACAAGTACAGTGTTGTCCCCGATGTGCGAGGCGAGTGCGAGGGCAAGTGCAAGTGCAGTAGCGACCCAAGCTCAAGCCGTCGTGGAGCGTACTAGAGCGAGCAGGGACGAATGAAACGGCGAGATGCAGGCTCGGGGATGTGCCTGGCGGCCAGATGGTGGTTTTCGCTCTCCACGCCTGCATGGTGCTGCTCGTTCTGAGCTGCCAGACTGCAGGGGAGTGGGGAAACAAGAGCAGGGAGAAAGGAAGAGCACAGTGAGGCGTTGTGTTTGTGTGTCCTGCAAAAGTGCTGAGGAGAGGCGTGCAGGACCTGGGGAGAGTGGGCAATGGGTGGGTACTCTACTAATACCGGTAGGCTTGCTGGCTGGCTGTCACAGCTGGGTGGGAAAGACGTGGTGACAGGCTTTTGGTGTGTGGAGTGTACTGGTGTATATACTTTGTATGGTATAGAGACCATGGGTACGTACATACTACTTACTAGGTACATACTATCCGTACATACACAGTAGTAAAGAAAAGGCGCCATGGCATCGTCGCCGAGCAAAAGCCTGCCAGGGCCTGAGGCGGGCCACCATGGAAGCCGCCCACAAAGCACAGGCCAGGTCTCGCCTCCCCATCCGGCCTAGTACGGAACAGCGAACGCGTCGGGACGCGTCAAGTTCGCTCCAACTGCTACGACAGACCGACCTCCACGTGTAAATGCCTGGGGTTGTAGCTCGCCAACAATGGCATTTGGTATCTGTGAAGCACC